TGCCAGTAAAGCTTCTGGGTTTGACCTCCCACTTACTACTCTACCTCAAATGTTTTGATTAGCATGTGTTCCTAGTTGCTCTGTCAATATGCATATATTTAAATAGAGCGGTGCTCTAAAACACTTGAACCTGGTCCATAACCCTACAAGAAAATCTGTGAAGTAGCTCAAGGCCTTTACAGGAGAACAAAGCATTTATGGCAGGCTCTGAGGGGTTTAATCTACCATTGAGAAAACAAGAATTCAGATAGTTTTTGTCCAACTTCTGACATGAAGTGTTCTTCTGTGTTTTAGTTATCAGAAGTATATGTATTTTCACTCTTGAAGAAAGCTAGAATTAGAAACCCTTTTAAACCCAGTCCTGTCCAGAAAAGAAAAAAAAAAAAAGAAATCCCTATGCTCCATTACAGCAGCTTCCCAGAAGGAAGACCCCTTTACCTCCAGGCTGGTGCAGTTCTCAAACAGGACACTGAGCATCAGCCTCTCATAATCCACAGTGTGGTCACAGGCCATGATCTCCTCACCACTCACATCTAGGGAGGACATGAAAGATTAGCCCTGCAGGCAGGCACCTATTTCCAGGCTACAGCAGGCAGGGCCAGGGCAGTAGCAATACATACCAACAACAAACACATGCCAGGAGTAGTTGCCAAGCTCTCTGGAAAACTCAACTTCCATCCCATCCCTATGACAGGTCACATTCTCTGCAGAGAAGAGACCACCATGAACTCCATTACCAACCTGCAAGTCCCCAGCCAGCCCTGCTTCAGAGCTCCCTTCCATGCCAAGGCAGAGGGGAAGCAGCTCCAAGCAAGCCCCAAGCCCACCTCCACACCACTGCCAGCCCAGAGGGGGCACATTACCCAAGAGATCCTGATCTCCCAGGCCATCAGCACAGGGGGCTAAGGGCAGCAAAAAGCCAAACAGGAGCAGCAACCTGCAGGGAAGAGAACCAAATGAGAGAGCAGCAGGGAAAGGACCCACTTCCCATCCCTCTCCACACCCCACTCACCACATCCTTGGGGTGCTCCAGCACTGCTGCTCCACAAACAATTCCATCTCCTCACTAGAACCACAAGCTTACCCCTTCTCTGCCCAGGGAGGGTTATATAGGACCCAGACCTGGCTCCACACAGGTGCCACCTTTCTGCTGCCCCGGGAACAGAACACTTGCACCTGCTGCTCGTTGAGATGGGAAGGCTCACGGGAGACCTTAAGGTGATATTAAGTCTTTAGCATGGATTGTTGTTTCCCTCTATTTTGAAGGCATCTTTTTCTTGCTCTGATTGTGTACTCCCTTCACTCCCTTGTCAGATAGTGCATAGAAAAATACCTGTCTTTTTGGCAGTTATTTTTGAGAAAGGAGATTTCTGTGCCACTTTGCTGTCCCTGTCCCTCACACACTGGCAGCAGGACAGCCTTTGAGACACCAATGAGCTGAACATGGCTTTCCTTGGGACTGTTTGTAGCACTGGTGATCATATCATGGGGGAAAAACTTCCACAAAACCAAAATGCCAGGCCAGGGCTTCTCCTTTTGAGCGCTCACAGCAAAACCACTTATTTCATATGTCACTATGATACAATAGATAACGTCACTTCTTCCAGCCCTACAGAAGCCCCTCAGTTTGCTCTTATGTGCCCAGTATGGCAGAGCATCGAGGTGTGGGGGTGAGACAGAGCTTTGGCAGAGTTGGCTTTGTTGCCTTTCAGTTTTGAGTATTTTTATCTATTGATTAAGGCCTTGCTCCTGAAATGACACATGAAGGCACTGCGAGGGATGCCCTTGGACCCACACCTGAGCAGTGAGCACGTTAGGATGGATCTCAGGCATCCCCAGTGGGGTCACACTGAGCCTGGCTGTGGGAACTGGCTGCTCAAGAGGACATCCAGCAGCAGTGTCCTGGGGCACAGCAGTTTTACCACCCTAAGAAATGAAGAAATAAGCTTTTATTGTTGTTCAGATGCTGTCGTCATCTCTGAATTGTGTAGCCACGATTACCCAGTGTGACTAATTTCATTCTTCCCTAGACCCATTAGTTCCAAAGATCTCATTAGGCAAGCAGAGACTTCCTTGCCTCCCCTTGCATGGCCTTTACCATAGCACATTTGGTGCTTATAAAAGTTGGGATGAGGAAATGCTGTGCTGGATAATACCTCATGCAAAACAGATGGCACGACAACAGCGCTGTGCGTGCCGGGCTCCAAGTTATCTGGAACAACATAACCAGTGATGCTGCAGCCTTTCAGTCCAAATAGTTTGTTTAACAGGTAATATTTTATTTAGGATAGTTCTCAAAATAATAGAGCAATAATCATATAGCTAATAAAATCCAATAACAAATCAAAGCTGCCAGTTAAATAATTCATTAGCTTACAACACCATGTGCCATCACAACAGAGCTTCTCTTGAGCCTGGTAAGACGTTTCAATTGGAAGTGGTTTTGAAGTTCTTTTCAAACCCAAAAAGAAAAGCTTCATTCTAACCACACAGGGAGTTTAAAAAGTTTACAACTTTGAGCTTTAGTCTCAAAAGAATAATCTCCATTCAGGCTGAGAATTTAGCTCATTTGATGTTGAATCATTTATTGCATTTCAAGTTGAGGTTTTTGGATTGGACAAAGATGAACAAGTACCAGGAGTTAAGAAACAGATGAAGATTTTGTTTGGTCTTTTCTTTTTTTCTTTCTTTTTTTGTGGTGCCCACTTCTGTGACATAAATAATAATAAAGCTTACAAAGTCTTGGAGCTTCTCCCCAGCTGACATGGGTTTTTCTTTACCTCTAATTAAAACCTAGAATAATAGTTTCCCACATAGCATTATACAGAGTAAAGTTCTTGTAAGATCAATATTTTCAGATGTTGGACAATAAAACTCACTCTGAGATCAACACTTTGAGTGCTGAATTAATCAAGAGAAAAGCAAATGAAGGTACTTCTGTAGTAGAAATCAAAAACCTTGAAAATGAGAAGGACTCTTCTGACACCAAATCACCTTCATGGGTGTATCTAACAATGTGAAATGCCAACATAACAAGAAAAAGGCTGTTTCCTGTCTCAGGTACTGGTGGTACAGGTAGGATGTGCCTTGGTGATCATTCTGCTCTTGAGAGTAGAAAGGTTTACACTGCCCAGTAAAGAAAATAAAATTCAATGTCATCAAGAAACAGCTAATCTGAAGTATATATATATATGTATATGTATGTACATGTATTACCTGTCTTTGCTAGCATTTCTCTAGTAGCTGTAAATTTAACTCAGAGCTGAGTGCCTGATTAAACAGAACACAGAATAAATGACTGCATTTTTTAGTAAAAAGGTGTTAATGCAGTGCAGGGAACTTGGGAAAGGCCTGAGGGTGAAACTGTCTCCTAATGTGGGGATGGAGGTTGTCCTGGGTGAAGCACAGCCCTTCCTCACTGCCCTGGCATGGCAGGACAGCACCAGGCAGGGCTGTGCCTGTGGATGACGTGAAGGAAAACCAGGGACTTGGTTTAGTCCTCCCTAGACTTATTAATTTGAAGATTCAAACCTGTCACAGGATCTGACTGACTCTCCTTGTCCCCCTGGGAAGAAAAATAATGTTGGTACAAGTTCATTCCTGAAGAGCTCTTCAATTCCTGTCTGAGAAAATAATTAAGAGAGAAAGCCCAGTTGGAGAGGTCTCTGGTGGATTACAGGGGTGCCATTATGGGATGTAAATGAGGTGGCAGAACTCCATTCAGGGGTTGCACCAACTCCAAGCAAGGAGTTGGTTTGTATTGCTGTTGGTTCTCTAATGGGAGCACAACAAGCAACAAAACCCCACTGCTAATTGCTGAGGGCAGAGTCTCTGAGATCCAGGTTAATTCAGCGAGTCACAGAAAACAGCTTGGCAAAAAGTAACATTAATCTGGCAGCTGTTGTGAATGTGGCCAGAATGACCCTCAGCCTGCAGCACTGCATGAAGCTGCAGGTAGAATCTTAGCAGCTGCTGTTTGAAAACTCACCTTTTATGTGACTTGCTCTTAGTAATTCTTTTGGACCTAAAAATCAGAATTACGGTCTAATTCTATAAGTTTCTAGTTGTAGAGGTAGCCCTTAATGTCACTGAAATCAGGGGAAATTAATTCTAAAGCAAGAAGTGGTTTACATGATGGGAACTGGACCCATCTATTCCCAGACAAGGACCACAGTGCCCAGGCAGGGGCAACAGGTGCAGGCCAGTTGTGTTACCATTTTTGGAATTCCTTGTGCTATCCTAAGGAAATCCTGCACATTTTTTGCATCTGAACCAGAGCTTACAATATGTGTGAGATGAGTCTTATATTTGCCAAGTTCCTGAAGATGCCCTGATAAAATGCCATTTACTGTGGTTTTGCCAGCTGTGACTTGCAGACCTGCTGGGGGTTTTATCCAAACACCACCCTGTCCCTGACAGGTCTGGTTTCATCCCCACACCAGTCCGTGGACATAAAATGTCTTCATGGAAGTGCCTGGTTTGGCAGGGCAGCACCTTGTTTTCCAATGCAGCATCCCAGTAAAAGATGGGTTACAAAGGACTTCACCAGTACAGGTAACTGCTCATGCTTTTCATCCCATTGAACTCAGGGGTACTTTATTACTCGGGGTGAAACCTGGTTGCACTGACATTCACGGCCTTTTGAATGATTTTTGAAATTTTTGAAGGTTTTTTTTTGAAGTTCAAGCTCCTTTTGCAGTTTTCCCAGAACAGTCAGGCAAAGACACAGAGAAGATGAATGACCCCCCTCTGTGTTTAAGTAGTCGAATGTGCAGCCAACAGCAAACGGCAGAGGCGCCTCCCAGGAAACAAAAGCATTCCCCACACCACGGCCTCACTACCTGTGCAGAGCTCCAGAGAAACTGCCTGCAAGGATGAACTTTGCCTCCTCATTCCCCTCCTCACAGGGACCTCTCATCTTGTAATCATTAATGAGCCGTCCCCGTGATGGAAGAGTGACTGTACAGCCTGGAGATCGCCCGGAGCTGCCTCGGGAAACCAGAACCTACCGAAAATGTCGAGCAGGTATCACAAAGCAGCGGCCGATGGCAACTTGGACCTCTTGAAAGAAGCCACTAGGAAAGACCTCAACACTTCAGACGAAGATGGGATGACACCCACCCTTCTGGCAGCATACCATGGGTATCTGGAGGCTCTGGAAATCATATGCCGGAGGGGGTAAGTCAACCAGCCTCCATTGCTGAAAGCTTGTGGCTCAAAACTACAGTTAGTGCTCGTGTTCCTCATGCCCCGATGAGCTCAGACCCAAAAGGCTGAAAAATCACAGTAATTTCTTTCAATGCGTTGCCAAGAATTGTTCCTTCATTTACAGTGGTTTAGGCCCAAAGCCTGTGAGGGGTGGTCTGTCCATGAAGTCCCACCGGCATCAGTGGGACCACACTGTGTCTGGAGCCTGCAGGGACTGGGACCTGGGTGGGACTTTGCCTCACTGTAATGCAGGAGAAGGTGGCCTTTAGATGATTTCCTTGAGATGGCCTTACAGAGAAATGCATTGTTTGAAACATTTTTAGCGAAAAAGATCTCCCATTTTCTTCCAAAGTGCAGTCAGTAGACACTGGTGATGATTTAGTGCTGTCCAGAGGCAAGTCACAACTGAGAGTTTTGAAACAGTAACATCTAAGATGGTTATTTCTCTGTTTTTTATGGCATTAACAACTACCATCATGCTAAAGCTGAAAACAATATTTTTTCAGAGGCTGTGATAGGATCCTTGGGAACTAGAAAAAAAAAATAAGAAAAGAAAAAAAGAAAGAAGGTTTTCTACAGATTTATTTTCTAATAGTAATATTGCTGTATCATACATGTCCTACATGATTAAAAAGGCTTATTGAAATGGTAATTACTTCCTTTTAAGCTGTGATTCTGTATTAAAATTTAATAAAAGAAAATCTGCTCTTGTGTAGAGACACAATTAACGAAATGTTCTTTCTGGGCTGAGATGAAGATTAAGTTGACCTGTATTTCCACTGAAAATAGTTTAAAACAAATTGGAGGGAAAAGCTGAATAAGTATTTGGAGGTCTTCCAGTTTTATTAAAAATGGAGTTGAAAAAAAATGGTTTTTCCTAGATTTACTTTATAGCTCATTGGGCTCAGGCGTGGCTGTAGTATCACAATAAAAAAGACCTTTGGACTGTGTGGTTATTGCTGTGTCCTCAGGAGAAGCAAAGATTGGTTGACAATTTTTCAACTTCTGTGATTAATGCAGCTTTAGGGAAATGCCTAGTCATTAAGGTTTGGCCCTGAACAACTAGCTAAGAAATATATAAGAAAAATACTATCTAACTCTTTTTCTTGGTAAAGGGCACTTTGGGACAGTTTTGCACTCAAAATCTTCAAATATATGCATTCACCTCTACTTTAATCTAAGATTTTTTGGTGTGATCAGTGGTTGTCAGAGATATGGCTGTAGCCTGACTGGTTTTCTTGGGAGAAGCTGAATTTTGGAAGCCTCACAATCTGTTCTCCAGTCAATTAATGTTTTCTTGTGAGAAAGTATTTTAATTGTTTCTAACAAATTTGTCATTTCCTTGAAGAGGTTTCCTGACAAAGGCTCTGAGATACAGGGTGGGTTTCTTTAGAGTAGCTGCAGATTTTGGGACTCTCAAGCTTGCCACACATTCAGCCCTTGGAAAAGTGTAGCAATGCTAACAATAAACCCCTTTCATCTTGAAATAATTCATCTTCCCAGGCATCAGGAGACATTTTCTCTTCCTGTCTTGCAGGTACATGAATAAAAGCAGCACCAAGTAGCAGAATCTGCTCTCTTTTGAGTGAGCCTTTTTCTTGGGAAAGCAGGGAAAGGAGGAGCATGAGAACCCAAAGTAGCTGTCAAATCTTATTCAAAGTCCGACTGAGCTGGGAACAGCCATTCTAGTTTGTCAATTGTTTGAGACTCAAAGGCTGGCAGGTTCCACAGGGAGAAGAGACCACAGACAGCTGCAAAGGGACCTGGGGGAGGTTGGATGACCCAGCGCTTCCAAGGCTCGGGATAACACAGCCCGTTTGCTAATGTGGGAATTCAGGAATCCAGCACGTTTGGCCACAGTCAGGCAGTTCCCCAGGGCAGAGCCACAAGAGCAGGAATATGTACACATGGTTTCCATATGTGTGAGTGGAGAAACTTTGATCCTCAGCTGCCACCTCCCTGCGGCAGGGCCTGCGCTCCCACAGCCGCTCCCGCTCGCTGGTGCTCCCCAACAGAGCAGCGTTCACAGGGAACCCTGACCTTGCTCCTGCCCTCAGGCTGAGGGATGTGTTCAGATTTGGCCCTCAACAAACCTGGTAGTGCTTTCCTTCAGGGAGGTTCAAAGCCAGAGGTCAGTGCCTGAAGGACACTTTGCGGCAGGACGTGCCACTCCTCTCATAGTACTACCAAGGCTTGAAATGCTTGAATTCCCAAGGGTAGAGATTCTCCTTGTAAATTTGGTCCCTGGCTCTGAAGTTGTTAAAGATTTTGGGCTGCTGTGGCTGCCTTGGTTGTTGGTCACAAGAAGCCACAAGCCCTGTTCTGAACATTGCAAATGTTGATCCTGCCAAACGTGTATCGAAACATTGCAGCCGACTCTTGTCTGCAGGCAGCAGTTCAGTGTGAAGTCAGTGCAAGAGTTAAAAATAAAGCAATGCTTTTCACTGGCTTTAATTTCAATGGAAAAATGTGGCCTTTTATTTTCAAATGAGCTTCTGCTTTTCAAACCCCCATGAGCAAAAGCAGCCAGAGGAGAACAAAAGAGTTGAAGAAAAACAATGGCATCTGTCTGGGTTTAAACTAACAGCAGTGGAGACAAATGTGTAATCAGGGCTTTACTCTTAATCATTTACCTATTACTTACCCCAAAAGTTACTGCATGTACTCATTAAATATGTATCACTGTGGTCAGTGAGGAAACCTCCTAATATTGTCCCTGCATTTCACACACAAAACGGAAGAGTCGTCAAAACCCCTTTAAAATATTCCATGCAAAAGCTATTGAAACAGTTTTGCCAGTAATTCCAATGAGAGTAAGTCAAAGCCTGAGCCCACTTTGAGCTGCCATACCCTGGGATGACAAAGGAAATACCCTGGCTGTGTTATGGGGAGATGGATAAGCAGTCACACCCAGCCCTGTGAGCTCGTTTAATTCACAGACAGACAGGGTTTAGAGCTTGTGCCACACACGCAGCTCGGGGCTTGTGTAAGTGGGTGCAGCCCCGCTCCAGTGGCTGGAGCCCAGCTGACCCATTGTCACTGGGCTGTTCTCCTCAGAGCAGAGCAGAGCTGAATGTTTGGTGTCTGTTCAATCCCAGTGCTGTGTGTGGGAACACCCAGCTCACTGTGTGCTGTTTTCCTTGTCAGAGGCGACCCGGACAAGTGTGACATCTGGGGGAACACGCCCCTCCACCATGCTGCCTGCAACGGCCACCTCCACTGTGTTTCCTTTTTGATCAACTTTGGTGCCAACATCTTTGCTCTGGACAATGATCTGCGCACTCCCCTGGAGGCGGCTGCCAGCAGGGACCGCAAGGAGTGCGTCCAGATCCTGGACAAAGCCGCCACCGAGCAGATCATGCTGAACCCCAAGAAGGTCTCCAAACAAAAAGCACAGGCCCAGAGGAACGCTGAGAAACAAATCAAGGAGTGTGAGAGGCGCCAAGAGAAACACCAGCATGAGATGAACCGGAATTACATGAAAGAAAAGACTGGCACAGTGAATTCTTCCAGAGGAACACACTCCAGAGTAAAGCTGCCCGGTCTCTTTGCTTCCAACACCACAGGTACTTTTTCCAAAAACCTGAAAGATACCTTGAAACTGAAGGCAAAGAAGACAGCTGGCAGCACAAGAAGCCAGGAAACACAAAGAAATGACCAAGAGGATGATACAGGTCGGAGAAGTGTGATGCATTTGTTTGATGAGAAAGAGGAGGATGAGTTACTGAATGACCTTGATGAGAAAAACGTCGCTGATAATAACAGTCAGCTCTCCATTTTCCAGCGGCCGGGTCTTGGCAAGATCGTGTTTGGAAGGAATTTGGCTGCGAATGTAAATCCTGGAACTGTGTCTTCTGAGAAAGAAGGTATCAGCTTTACAATGTCCAGTGAGCTCTTCCAGTATGAAAATGCTGAGAATGGCAAGGAAGATGATGCTGAAAATGGTGCTGATATCCCTTGGAATGAGGAAGAAGTCGTTTGGGATGACGAGGAAGCAGAGAACACACCCCTTGAAGTGTTTCTGGCATCACAGATGCTGGATGAGTTTCTTCCAGTCTTCATGAGGGAAAAAATTGATTTAGATGCTCTGATGCTGTGTTCAGATGAAGATCTACAGAGCATTCAGATGGAACTTGGGCCAAGAAAGAAAGTCCTGAATGCTGTGAATAAAAGAAAACAGGCACTCAAGAACCCTGGAAAAACTGTAGATACTTGCTTGTAAATAATGCAACTCCTTTCAGATATCTGCTAAAACAAAAGGCAGAGAGGTAACCAATTGCTTTAGAAAGTACAGCAGGGACAAAGATTTTTTTCTCTCTACATAGATGGCTGTGGTGCACAGGATATTAAGTTAAGCATATTCTGTTGAAAAGAAAGAATGTGAGGGTAAAAACCCAAAAAGCTTTTTCTCCCTGAACTGTTTATGGGGTTTGGATTTCTTTTGGTCCAGATAATTTAAAATATCAGTGAAGGCAAGCCATGCTACATTCCTTTATAAAGCCCTTCCTTATTTTGTCCAAAACCAGAATGCAAAGAGCATTCTCAGAGCTTGAGAGCTTTGAGTTTTCTCCATTTACTTCTGTTTGTTCTGATCTTCCTGGTACTGATAACATGTTAGAAATAGCATCTGAATCTTGATTTCAGCTGTGGTTTATTGACTCTAATCACCTCTGAATGAATGTAAATAAGACTAATTTGCAACAAGTTTCATATTTTTGACTAGTAAAAGTTTTTACTACTGTATTGATAATAATTTAAAAATACATGAAGTATCTTGCCAAGACATGTTCAGTCTGGGTTGTATTTTCTTTTCTCATCTCATTAGACTGGATCCAATTGCTACAACCCATCGTGTGCTAAATGTCATCAAGACTGCAATACCTTTCCTTGGCTGGACTTTACACTGCATTCTTTCCTGTACTGCAGCAGGCTGATATTTTCTTCTATTAGGCAATCACATCAAAGTCCTGCTCTGTGCAACCTTCCATGATTACTGTGCTCAGCACAGTCACTGAATCAGGCACCCTCCTCCAACCTGCTGGGTTGCTTTCATTTGGGCTAAGAAATCACCCAATGTTTAACAAAGCAACAAGGAAACAATGACTTACATACTTGAAGGCATACAATCAGTGGATTTTAAATCCTCCTTCCCTATCCTGGAGATGCAGATGCTTCCCCTTCCTCCTGGCAGCCACAGAAGAGGCAAGCCCAGCCTCATCTGCCTCTGCACCCTCCAGTCCCTGCAGCTGCAGCAGCTGAATTCCACTCTGGGTTGACACGAGGTCTGTCCTGCTCTGACAGCTCTGACAGTGCAAAGTGCTGAGCATAATGCACCTTTTTCAGGCCAGATTTTAAATAATTGGGTTAGATTGATTTATCCAGGAATTGCTTGCAAAAAACTCTAAGTGTGCAAACGCCTGTCACTGATGGGAGTCAAATGTAGGTAGCAGAGAAGGCACTTTAGGGGAAATCAGGACCCAAGTATCTCTAAATTGCACTGAAAATCTGCCTCTTTGCTTACTCATCTGCAGCCTCTGACAAGCAGAGATAACAGTCAGTTTATGTGCAGATGGTCTCTGCTCAGTTGTCAGAGGCATCCTGTGTTCAGGCATGTCCTTACATATTCCCACTGACTCTGTGGAGCTGGAATGAGCAGCACCAGACCTATGGGAGTCCCTTGTCCTTCAGAAACTGCATCAAGAGAGTGAAGAAGCCCCAGAGCTCCCCATATGATACTTATTTTTAGGCAACTGAATCAATCCCATTTTTCAGTTTTTATTCTTTTTAATTAAAAAGGTGCAGTAGTGCTAACCCTTTTCTTGGGTTAAAACTAGAAACTAATCCAAAACTAGAAAAGTAACAGACAACAAAATGAAGCTGAAGAAAAACAGTAGTATTTATTTAATTTTAATATAAATGCAAGTTACACCATTTCTTGATCCACTAATTTGTAAGAGAAGGAAACATGGAAATTGATGCTGTTCTTTCCCCTCGAAAAACTTAAGGATGGCATCCAAGCAATTCCCATTGTAACTGAACCGACTCCTCTTCCTGACATCAGAGGTACAACACTGAACCAGGCTCCCAGGACCTCCCCCTGCCAGTGAAAGCTGAGAACACCGGGGGTTTCCAGAACCAGCTCTTTGGGCTGGCTCCATCTACTTTTTAAAGTGTATAGTCCGTAGGAGAGTAGGTGTGAAAACAAACTAGACTTGTCTTCTTCCCAAACACGATGTTTCACCTCAGATTACAGATCTTGTGTTACACAAGGCCCAGGACTGGGGGATATTGCTGTAAATAGTACATTTCCATGCAGCTCCATACACGGCTTTCATGTTTGCCTCACGTTAGTGCAGATCTCCATCACTGAAGTAACACAACTGAGTCAACATACACACACTTCTGGACACCTCAGAAATGACAAAGATGAAATAAGATGTAAAAATAGAAGGGTAATTTTGCTACAGTTAAAATGCAAAAGCTCATAGAGAAATGTCTGTTGGAATAAACAGGATCAGTGTAGTTCAACTTATCCACACGAGCACATCCTTTGTCCCTGTTCTCTTACTGCTCTGATACCCTTTCTATGCTACCTCTGCACGTTACAAACTGCCACTTACTACTTTTTTCCAGCTAGCTCACACCAGGCTTCTAACTGGGAGTATTACTTACATCACACCTGCACTGTACTCATTAGCCTCTTCTATACTTCCCTCTGCACCACCCAGGGCTTTAATGCCACCTGCTTCTGAACCTCCTTCCTCTTGCTCCACTCTATTCTGCTGGCTCTGTGTCACCTCTTTCACAGCATGAAGAGACACTTAATAGCCTGCCTGAAATACTATGCAAATAGAAATAAAATTTCCCAAGGCACAGCTCTAGCCTGAGACAGGAATTTGTTTCCAGGGCAATAGCTGTTTTCCAGCAGATGCTCGATCTCTTGCAAAGCAGTTGCATAACAGCACAAAACTGGAACTCTTCCTTATGTCACTGGGTTCCTCTGCCAGGGAAGGATCATGAAAATTCCTGCCCCAGCTAATATTTGGGATAACAGAACAATTACTAATTGAGGCATGGCACAGCCAAACTGAAAATATTTCCCTGTACACTTGAAGTTTATTGTACTGAAATGTGTTTGTGTGGTTCCAACCTTCAAGGAATTTAGAAAGAGAACTTACAGGCACCAGAGGTTAATAGCAAAAACTGCCCACAGAACAGAGATAAAAGTTAAATCAAAACACATTTTAATTCTCATATGAAGATGGCAGCACCCCATCAAGGAATGAACTAAGGGAGGTACTGAGCAGAAATCTAACAGTGTGGAGGCATAATTATTTATATAAACTCCCACTCAGACCTGTGCTCTTAAACGAAAAACCATTGGGTCTAGGGGTGGGGAAGATGGACTGCAAGGGTTGAAAATAAAAATGGTGATGTCCAGGTCCCAGTGTCAGTTGGAAGGGAAGGAATGTCCAGGAGTCAGAGGTGGGCTGTGTTCCCAGGAGACCCAAGACAAGGTTACTGTCACTGGAGCACTGAAACCCACAGCTGCATATAAACTACCATCACAGGCCAATATGATGCCAGAGTCCATTGTCCAAACTGATGTATTTTACAGCAGCATGAATTACCTCTCTAAAAACAACAAAATCTATAGAAAGACTTTGCCTACACAAATAATTAGGGAGGAAAGGCATAGATTCCAGAATGACACCAAAATATGTAAAGATACCCTGGTTAGTATCACTGCAAACATCTGATACCTGCTGTTACAAGAGAGTCCATTTATTAGCAACACTGCAGGTATTTCAGACTTGCAATCACAAAACTTTAGAAATCAGTTGATTGCTGAATTTTTACTTTTGATTCTTGACTCTTCTAGAAGGGCCACTGTCAGATGAGATTGGGCCTTTCTTGTTAACAAAGGATCCAAGGAAACTCAGTGCAAACCATTCTCTTGCCCTCATTGGCATTGTAGATTCCCCTTTAGTTGGCAGCTGACCACGCATCATAAACAAATTTTGCTGCCACTGCATCTTCAAGAGCCATCCCTGTAAAAGAATTAAAGGCATCTTCAAACAGTTCTTCAGCTGTACCAACAATTTAGTATCAGAAGGCAACAGAAGGACGCAGGAAATCATCTGAGTGGGAAGGAACAGGAATTATTCCCCATCCCAAACACCTACAGTGCTACATTCAGAGCCTGTGGCCATCGTGGTGGGTCTGCCCTATGAAGTTCATGGAACAGCAGGAATCTAATTTGCAGTGCTCCTATCACCACTTGGCCCTTTCAGAGATGTCCTGCAGTTCAGAGCATGGTAATTCATCCCCACCCCTGCTCTCTCCCCAAACACCAGCCCCACACCCCACTGGCACACGGTGTGCAGGTCACACAGAGCCCGTGGGTGCAGCAGCGGGGCAGTCGGGCTGCAGCTGCATTCACAAATGCTGCACTCATGTCCTGAACCACTTGGAAAGGGAAAATGGACTTCCTATTGTTTGCCTGCTTCCCTATCACGCTTCATTACATCAATCCTGCCAGACAAACAAACAGGGAAATCAAAAGGGGAAATGCAAATCACATCCCACTTCCCTGTGGACAGTGCGTGGCCACAGCAGCTCTGAAGATGAGCAGCAGCTTTCCCACGCACGGGGGACCCAGGAAATAACAGGGCATTGTTTCCTGTCACACTTGCACACACGAGGGGCTGCTCTTACCCAGGGACTTAAACACTGTTGTTTTCTCAGGCAGGGCTGCTTTTGTACCCTTCAATACCTCTCCTAGCTCAGCAAAAATCTCTGCCTGTGGAAAAAATACACATTTATTTAAAACCATAATATCCATACATGCAGAAAGGGAAAAACACTTCTTTCCCTGAGTGACTTCAGAATAAAGAAATCCTCCAGCTCTGCATGCCAAAACCGATTCTTTTCCATGGTGAAGCAGATCAGTATTCAGACAAATAATATAGAAACTGGACAGAAATCAGAGCAGCAGAATGGTTTCCAAAGAGAAACAGCTGGCACACTTTCCACACTCAGTGAGGTTTTGTTACAGTGGATAGCTTGTTCCTTATCCAATAAAACACACGGGATCCCACACACATTACCATATCTGCAGCTCTGATGTTAAACCTCAAAAGTGCAAATCACATTTGCTCTGCAGAAACATTAAAAGGGAAAAAGAAAATGCCATTGAACCTAAAAGAGTCCCTGCTGTCAAACTGGTGCAGATCACTGTCTGCTCAGCTTGTGTGGTCCATTCTCCAGAGGTCTGATGTGTCAATCACACTGAAATCTTATGGGAAGAAAGTTACAGGTTTTCATAAACAGATTTGAAGAATATTTAAGACAAACAAACACTGCAGGAAATGTAGATCTTTGAAAAAACAATACATTGTTATCCCACCCAAAGGCCAATGCTGAGCACCTGCTACTGTAATATGGTGTCATGTAAGGGTAGATACAAAAGTTTCAGTGCAGGGCATCATCAGAACACACTCATTTTGTGGCCAATTGCCACAAAAAAAAGCCCATCAATTACAGAAGTCTTACCCCTGATAATATAACATCTCCTGATTCGGTACAAGCAGCCTCTTTGGAATCCACGAACAGAAAGCAATTCTTCATCAGTTCATCGTCCAGTTCTCTCCAGTCTGGTCTGCTTGCCCCAATAGCTAAGAGAACAAAACTGATAAACTTGGGAGCAACGTTTAAAACAAATTCAAACCACATGTTGCTCAAAAGATGCGTAAAATAACAATGGACAGTATTGCAGAAATGTAATATACAAAAACCATGTTAGCCATGGAGATGTGTTGATTGATAAGACAACAAAGAAACATTCAGTATTTGATTTGTGAGTAGAATATCCTTATCAGCAGACTGTGGGTAACCTTGTAACTTTATAAGCAGTACAAGCTGAACAGACTATGGGTTTTCACTGATCTGGAGAAATTGAAAGCAACTCAATGAGCTTAACTTCTTACACACAGTGCCAAGAGCTTTATCCACTTCTTAAGGGCTCAAAAAACAAACAAGGAACCCAACAAAACCCCAAACAATCACACAGTTCTACTATAACCATAATTTTTTTCAAGTGTCCAACTGTTACGGAAAAGTAAATTCCATGTTGCCCAAATGCTTCCTCAAACAGCACAAATGCCTCAGTGAAGGGTAAAAAAAGAGGCAAAGAAAGGAGAGAGGTCTTTGTGTCTGTGTCGCTTCAGTGACTCTGGACCTTAATTGATTGGGGTTGTGTTTTCAGCTTCCATGCCATGACACAACACAGACAACAACTTTCAATGACAAAGGACTAAATTGAGGTTGAAAAATTGGTAGGATGCTGCTGGAATGTGGGACCTTCCTTTAAATTGTTCCCCTGGAGAAGCTGCTTTTGTCTTTTTACTGCGCTATCTGGAGAGGCCACAAGGTCATCAAAACCAGGCCCACAATTAATCAAAATAAACAAAGAGGGGCATGTCCAGAGACTCCAAACAGTAGTGTGGCAACATCATTACAAGGCAGGCAACAACAACAACAACAAGCACCCCCCAAACCTCACCACAATTACAGGTCAAATTATGACGTTCTTAACTCAGTTATTGCATCTTTGTAACTCAGGCAAAAAAGTAAATCAATGTGGTCAGCCCAAAAAGAAACAAATAGAGGGGCTTACAAAATTGGTGGAAAAAAATATGCCAACTACAGATGGCAATGTTAAAATGAGCAGCAACCACTTAGGCAATACCATGTCTATGTGGGTCATTTAGATGGGGAGCAAGGTAAGAATAAGGGACAACATGAGGGCAACGAGGATACACCACCAGGGAAAAAAAGCACATCAAGTGGTCCAGCATCCATTTGCCAGAGGAAAAGTCAAACCAAAACAAACATTTATTCCAAGAAGGAGAGAGAACTGCCTTTCAGCAGATGTTGGTGCTAAGCAATGTGATAAGAAACACATCCTTTACACAAAGAGAACACAGCCTACCATTGATGTGGGCACCTGGCTTTACCCAGGCCCCACACAGGATGGGCTCTGTTGCCATGGTCGCTGTTACAATCACATCAGCCCCCACAACGGCCTCCTGGGCAGAGGAGCAAACCCGCACGGCACCATGGACAGAGCTGGCAAACTTCTCTGCTTTCTCCTTGGTGCGATTCCATATCCTCACCTGCAGGGGGAAAAGGAGGTAAAACAAAACAGGTGAGCTTGGACAATTTCTCCTTGCTGAACCAGAATACTTGGTCTCAGTTTTCCATAGATAGTCACATGTATCCTAAAGACTGGGCTTTCCTCCCCTTTAATGTTCTCATCACACAAGTGACTAAATTCATGAGCACCCAGCTACATTTCAGCGACTGTTTTGTGGTAACAGAGTAACAGCTCTTCTCAAATGAAAACACTTCCAATAAATTCTTTTAAGCAAAAGTCACAGAAAGCTTATCCAAGTATGACAGACAGGAACTTTGGAGAGCCAGCCTTGGTGTTGTGGGAGCACTGCTCAGCAGTAGCCAAAATACTGGGGTGTTGTTTGAGCTGCCAGTGCAAGCACTGGGAGGGCTGGGGGGGAACATCATCTCCATCTCAGCCAGACCTCACACAACTTCATTGCCTATACTTTTTTTATAATAAATCCTGAAACATAACACAGAACAATAAATGTATCTGTGAAGATGTGTTCATTACCTCTTTAAATGTGAACAGTTCTGTGAGGATTTCATAATGGCTGTATGCTTGAACACCAGCTCCCAAAATGCTCAGCACCTCTGCAGAAGCTGGCATTAACAACTGAAAGGCATAAAAAATAAAATAAACACATAAAGGACAAGAGGTTCACAGGTATTACAAACATATTTCAAAATGCTACAAAAGACAAGCAGTATTTTTAGTCCTTTTAAATAACAAAAAAGTGGGTTTGGTCAAAAAGCTAGAATCGATTCATATCAATATAAACAGCATTCAATAATCACTGTATATCAGGGGTTTTAATGCAAAAGCTGGTATCAAAACACACCTTGGCTTAATTCCACTTTTGAAATGTCTGACTGCTGAAATTCAGATGTAAGATGTAACAGCATGGACTAACACAAGTTCTGGGGCCTCAGCACAGTCCAATATTAGCAAAATGTATTACACCCACATGACTGATTAAGTAAATGTAAAACCATACAAGATGTTCTGCACTGGCTGAGAACAGGCCTCACAATTCTAAAGGCTCTCAGTGCTGACAGTGGCAGCTGCACAGGTAAACTGCTCCTGGAAGACCCGCTCTAAACCCCCTGTTTGAGTTCACTGAAGCCTTACATCATACCACAAACACATCCTGGCACTGCAAGAGCCACCACACATCTAACATTGTCAAAATAGGGATGCTTCTGAGGAACAAAGAATAACATTCAGTTCTACAGCTGCTTTGGGGGTTCTGGTTTACTTCTTGCCTGTGATTCACCAACACTTGGCAAAGGGCAAGGCAGGGCTGCTGGAGCCCAGCCCTGAGCTATCCTGTCTCAAAAGCTTTAGAATTGTCTGGGCTCTCAACACTTAATTCTGCTGCAAACAAATTGAAATCATCTCATTGATCCCATTTTTCAGCAATAAGAGCTTGTTTTGGTGTTCCTTGCAAAGACTGGGAAGCACTGATTTCAAAGGTTCTCTGCACAAAAGCAGGGGGCTTTGAAAAGCAAGTGCCATAAGGAGGACAAGATGACAAGCAGGAGCTGAACTCAAACACTCCTGAACATTTCCCAAAACAACAGA